GGTTAAGGTGCAGGGGCAGCAGGTGGCATAGTGGTTAAGGTGCAGGATTCTTCTTTGTATTGACTGATATGAATGGTATTCCTTCTGGAAAAAGAAATGTAATACACTGTAAAGTTATATGTGATTCAATGTAATATAAACAAGATTATGATAATAATTTAAAAATTAAGAAAATAAAAGGTACAGGACTCCCACATGACCAACCATAGTTTGACTGGTGGACCGAGTGCCTTGAAAATCATCTCACAGACTTGTGCATGTGTGTCCAAAATCCAAGGAGGGAGAATGGAAAAGAAATGATTTGGACATGTTTATCTCCCCTATGGGGATGATTTCTCTTGTTAAGATTATTATTATTATTATTATTATTATACATTCAATCACTATATATCATTTAGCTTGTAAAGAGAATTTACCCAACATGAAATACACCTCACATCAGTCCAGTCAAGAATACTATACACATTATCATCAACAGTTAATAAACCATTTCTGTGTCCCACCAATGTTTTATACTTTCTCTCTCACTGTCTCTCTCCTCTTTGGAAAGTACATACACCCTATGGCAGAATATTAAAAAAAAGTATTAATATGGGTCTCAAGGGGCAAGAGATCACAGATAGGGAAGAATAAAGACTGGATTCACCTAATGTCTTATCTGGTCTCATGGGAAAAATCAATGAGCAGGAAAATGTTTCTTTCTGCCCAGACCAGTGTCCACAAGGGAAATCAGGTAATCAGGATTTAGAATAACAAGAAGGAAATGTGCAAAATGCACTGATAATAGGACCTATAAATACCTCCTATTTTCATCAGTTTGCAGCCTTAAGCTGGCTGGGACATAGTTGTTGCTTTTGCAGTCTTAACTTGGACTAGAGGACAAATGCTTCACTCCATCCTTCTGTTCTACCAGGACTAAGCTTCAATCTTCATTATTCAGACTCCTGCAAAGGAATGTAAATGCCTACACAAACAACATATTTTTATCACATCCTGAGAGCCTTGCAGAGCCTTGCAGAAAAGATTCAGACAGAATGGAAATTTAGAATTTTACCTGAAGTCACCTGAGAGCCAAGAACAACGAGATCACTGTGTTTGCTTGTTTTCAACCAATTCATAATTGATTTATTTGGTATGTTAAAAAGAGAAATGTTGAGTCCCAGAAGGTGGTGTGGTGGTTAAGAATATTGAATTCTAACATGGCAAACTGTGGTTCAAGTCCCAGACTTGGTGGCTTGCTTTTTCACTTTCTCTCTCTCTGTTTCAATCATGCTGTCCCTCTCTGATCAACTTTAAATAAATATATAAATAAAGTTAAACAAAATGATTCTTAAAAATAAAACAAAAGGTAGAGAAGTGTCAGGGATCATCAGGTTGTGCATTGGTTAAGGTGCTGGACACCCCATGGCTGACTTTGGTTTGAGTCCTGGACCTGAATTGAAAATCATGCCAGGTATGTGCGTGCATGTATGCCCAATATCCCACAGGGAGAACGGAGGAGAAGGGACTGAGATGTCACCCATGCACCCTGGTGGGTGATTTCTCATTTTCTGTCTCTCTCTGTCTGGCAAAAAAAAAAAAAAAGAATAAATAAAGTTGAAGTGTCTCATTATTTATCAGCCTTTTGGCTAAAATGTAGTGTAGTATGTATTCTTATCAGTTAAATATCTGATACATCCTCTATGTAAAGACAATATAGTAAATGGATTTTTGGAGCAAAGACATGAATGGGAACTTAATCCATTCACTCCACGCAGAGACTGGTATTGCAGTACCTCCAGGAATGATGCACCTCCTTTAGGGGATTAAAAAGTGTTTCACAGGCCCAGCAGGTGGTGTGGGGCTTAAGACACTGTATTCTAATATGATTGACAACAGTTTGAGTCCCAGACTCAATTGCTTGAAGATCACGCCAAGAGTATGTGCCTTTTTCCCCAAAGACCTGAGAGAACTGAGAAGGAATTGGAGTATGGTCATCCATCCAGGGAGTGATTTCTCACTTTTCCTCTCTCTGTCTCTCTCTAGTGAGTGTGCATATCCTATGGCAAAATCTTAAAATCATCATAATAATAATAAATTTTAGACTGTAATACATGAATAGGAATAAAAGTCCAATTGGATGAGGCCAAAGAAAGAAAAGGAGGAGTAAAGGGGCTTCAGTAACATTAGAACATGTTCATGGAGATTTTCAGGACAGAGTAGGAATACTGAGTTTTTTGTTTTTTGGGTTTTTTTCTTTTATTTTGAAGGATGTTCACTGGCATGCAGGCATTTTTTATTTCCTTTTAAAGATCAAATGCATTTGGGTATGTTTCTGTATTAACTACAAAAGTTAAATGAAAAGGTTGCTTAAAAATATTACCTCTCAACAAGAGTTTATGACAGACAGTATCTTCTCCCATGTTGGGCATAAAATGAAAAAAAAAATCAGTTTTATTTGGGAGGTCAGAGCATAAAGCTAAAGCAATTTCCCTGGCAATTGTTTCATTATGGGTGATGCTGAATCTGTTTGGGGGGTTATTAATTGCTGATTTTCCTTGTAAGACCTTTTATTCTTTCCTTTCTCTCTCTCTCTCTCTCTCTTTTTTTTTTTTTTTTTGTTCTTGCCATAGACTGTTTGCACTTACTAGAGAGAAATAAAGACAAAGTGAGAAATCATGTCCCCTCCAAGGGGAATAGCCACATCACAACCCTTCTCTGTGATTTTCCAAGCTGCCAAGTCTGGGACTCAAATTGTGAGTTCAGGGCTGTAACCACTGTTTCCTACTGGACCAAAAATCTTTGTTTTATGTCCTGGGTTCTTTTGGTTTTATTCTTTCAAAGAAAAAGTTGGAGTTTTTGCACTAAGTTAGCTGTTTACTATTTACCTTTTCCCCACCTCTCTAGTTAACTTTCTTCTTTTTTTTTCAGAAAACTATACACATTACCATCAGCATGTAATAAGCCATTTCTGTGCCCACAGATGTGTTGCCTCTCAACTTTTTCTCCCTAATTTTCTTCTGTACACTCTTCCCCTTTCCCACCCTCCTTCCATACTGTCTCCAGTATCCATATCTATTTGCAATGCTTTTATGTCCTCTAGTCTTTCAGTCTGTATCATAGAGCGGGGACACTTGGTATATGTTAAGTGGAGACAAATAATGTCTCTCTTTCATACTATTTATGATAGTTAGCTAGTTAACTTTCTCATAGAAAGATGGTAGATTATAGATATAGATAGATACAGATATATAGATTGATAAAGATAGACCTTTTGTGCAATAATATATGAAACCATTAAGGGGGTGTGGCAAGTCTATCAGTTGTTCAACTTGCATATTCATCTCCCTCAACACTATTATTTATTTTTATTTAGTTTTTGCTATAAGGCATGTGCACTGGCCAGAGAGAGAGAGAGAAAAAAAGTAAGAAGTCACCCCCTAGTGGAGATGGTCACACCACAGTTCCTTATCCTCCATTTTCCTTTTTGGGGCTTTGGGTATCCACATGTGCCCAGTGTGATTTTTAAGCTAATGAAACTGAGACTCATACCACACAGTTGACCATGTGAAATCTAGTGCCTTAGCCTTCAGGCCACTTGCTGCCTCTCCCCATTGATTTTTAAACTTAACAAGTTATGTATCTTCAGTAGTAATTGTCTTTTACACATTTTACCATCTTATTGGGTGGTTGGAAAAGCTATGATGCATTTTTTCATAGAAAAATCATAGGAAAAATATATTATAACTTTTCCAAAAACCCAATATTTTTTGTTACTCTTTATACCTTTTGTAGTGTAATTACACTACTAGTTTTAAAAATAGAAACACTATCATGTGGAAAATATTCTATTGCTTGGGGCACATGTGTGTGCGTGCCCAAGATCCTGAGAGGAGAATGGTTGTCACCTCCACCACATGGAAACAAGGAACAATACAGAAATTTCAGAATTCCTTCTTCTTTGGGACTTTCAGAGGCACTCAAGATCCTGAGAGGAGAAGGGATTGTGGCATGACCATCCCCTCTTGGGGGGTGATTTCTTGTTTTCTATCTCTCTGTCTTTCTCTGTCTTTCTGGCAAACGCATGTGTCCTATAGCAAAAACCTCTCAAAAAAAAAAAAGAAAATATTCTATTGCCTTTAAAAAATTACTTATTCATCCACTTTGCACTCAGTTGGACTAACTATAATATGGCAAACTCTGAATTTGTGTTACTAAAATTCATGAAGAAATTTATTATTAAAATTGTAGAGTGGCCAGGCAGCTGCATGGTGGTTAAGGCGAGTGGATCCCACGCTACTGAATGGTTTGAGCCTGGTCATAGTGGCTTGGAAAATACACAAGGGGTGTGTGTGTGTGTGTGTGTCCCAAATCCCAAAGGTAGAAATGAAGGAGCAGAGATTGCGGCATGGCCATCCCTCATGGAGGAGTGCTTGCTCACTTTCTCCCTCTCTGTCTTCCTCCAGGAAGTCCATGCATTTTCTGGAAAATTTAAAAATAAACAAATAAAGTAAAACTCAAAAATGCCTGAACTCTTAGGGAAAGGTTGATAATAAAACAAGAATTTGCAAACAGGGACAGACAACAAGGAGGGGACTAGATTATTACACAAAATGTAGAAATTAATTTCTTGACTGCAAAACATAAATTCTAGCATTTTTGAGAGGTTATTATTATTATTATTATTATTATTATTTTATTATTGCTATAGGGAACATGAGCTCACCAGAAAGAGAGACAGAAAATGAGAAATCACTCCCCAGGTGGGATGGCCACTACACAATTCCTTCTCCTCCATTCTTCCCTTGGGATCTTGGGCACACACACACACACACCCAGCACAAGTTTAGGCCACTGGGTGCGGGACTCAAACCATGATTGACTACATGGGAGTCCAGCGACAAAGCCATTATGCCAACTGCTGGTCCCTAAATTGTAGCATTTTAACTATGTGAGTTATATTCTTTTGAGTGAAAAATAGTCATGCTACTTTTCTCTTTTCTGGTAGTCACCTCCACCACATGGAACCAAGGAACAATACAGAAATTTCAGAATTCCTTCTTCTGGGATTTTCAGAGGAACCAGAATTGCAGACCTTCATATTTGGGCTTTTCCTCTCCATGTATCTGATCACTGTATGTGGAAACCTACTCATCATCCTGGCCACCATCTCAGATTCCCACCTGCACACACCCATGTACTTCTTCCTCTCCAACCTGTCCTCTGTGGACATCTGCCTCACCTCCACCACAGTCCCAAAGATGCTGGTGAACATCCAGACACAGAGCCAGGTCATCACCTATGCAGGCTGCATCACCCAGATGTTCTTTTTCCTACTCTTCATAGTGTTGGACGACTTCCTCCTGACCATAATGGCTTATGACCGGTATGTGGCCATCTGTCACCCCTTGCACTACACCGTCATCATGCACCCCTGGCTCTGTGTATTGCTGCTGCTGGCATCCTGGACTCTGAGTGCCCTGTATTCTTTGTTAAATAGCTTAATGATGTTACAACTGTCCTTCTGTACACACACACAAATCTTCCATTTTTTCTGTGAATTTAATCAGATGGTCCACCTTGCCTGCTCTGACACCTTTATTAATGACATTGTCATGTATCTGGGAGCCATACTGCTGGCTGGTGGTCCCTTCACTGGGATCCTTTATTCTTACTGTAAGATAGTTTCCTCCATACGTAAAATCTCATCAGCTCAGGGGAAGTATAAAGCCTTTTCCACCTGTGCCTCTCACCTCTCAGTTGTCTCCTTATTTTATTGTACAAGTCTAGGAGTGTATCTTAGTGCTGCTAATAATAAAAATTCCCACTCAACTGCAATAGCCTCTGTGATGTACACCGTGGTCACACCCATGCTGAACCCCTTTATCTACAGTCTGAGGAATAAAGACATAAAGAGGGCTCTGAGAAGACTCACTGAGAATGAATCTATCATAGAATAAATCGTCCTGCTACTAAAGAAGTGCCCTTGTTCATAGGGTTCACAGCATCAGACTCAGAAATATTGACAATCTGATCATATTTGAAAGTAGAACCTGTTCCTTCTAATGATCTCTACTAATTTACATGACTTTGATTTGAATTTCTCTTTACAATTTAAGAGCATTGCCTTAGTAAGTTTGTGCTCTGTCTGATAGCAAGTTTTCCCTTTGTTCATCTTTTTACAAGTTTGTCCTATTCATAGACCATAAATACTTAGAAATCCTCTCAAAATTTATGGAACATTAATTTCTGATGATTAATTTATTCCCAAATGACATACACAAAGTAATATTCCTTTTTTTCTATTAAAATAATCCGGTACTGTACTTCCATCATAGGAACAAAATAAGTATACTTGACAATATGGTCTACTATATGATTATATAATACATGAAAATCTGATATCAAAATCTTCCATATTTATGTGCATCGATCCTTGTTATATCACCACCTTAATTGTTCCTAATATAAAGTTTAACACATTGTTTTGTTTTATCATTTTTCATTTGGGTTTTTTTCTCCTATTTACTATTATTTTTTTTCTTGATCCCTGAGTCCTCAGCGACATTGTAACAACTGGTAAAAATAAAACAATTACTATCTATAGACACCCTCCTTTATGGGCCCATGTACTACTTCTGCTGCACTTGGTGTTCTTTCAGACATTTCTTTCACTTCCATCACGGATCCAAAGATGTTGTTAAATACACACAGAGCAAAGCCATAAGTTAGGAAGGTTACATCACCCAGATGTCCTTTTCTATACTCTTTTCAGGGTGGGCAACTTTCTCCTGATTATGGTGGCCTATGACCAATATGTGTCCATCTGTTACACCCTGTGATATACTGTCGTCATGAACTCCCACTTTTGAAGATGCAACTTCTTTTGCCCTGGATTATGAGTGTTCTGACTTTGTTACATAATTTAATCATTTTATGGCTGTTCTGTACACACTTAAAAAGCTCACATTGAAGCCAGCAGGTATTGGTTAAAGCACTGGACTGCCACATGGATGACTGTGGTTCAAGTCTTGGACCTGGTGGATTGAAATTTGCATTAGGTGTATATATGCATATATACCCAAAATACCAGGAGGAGAATGGAGAAGAGATTGTAGAGTGGCCATACTCCCTGGAGGGTGATTTCCCATTTCTCTCATTTCTCTCACTGTCTCTGTCCTTCTCTTCTGGAGAGTGATTTATCATTTATCTAATTTCTCTCACTGTCTGCCTCTGTCTTTCTCCTCTCTGGTAAGTGTACATGCCTTATGACAAAAAATCTTAACAAAAAAGGGAGGTCCCATTTTTTCTATTAATTAATATATGTGGTCCACCTTGCTTGTTTGGCCTCTTTCATAACATGGTCATTTATTTTGCATCTGTGTTGGTGGAAGGATGAAATGCTCACTGGGATCCTTCACTCTTACTCTAAGATAGTTTGCTCCATATGTGAAACTTCATCAGCTCAAGGAAAGTAGAAGGCATTTTCCACTTGTGCTTCTCACTTCTCAGTGGTCTCCTTATTTTAAGGTACAGTCATAGATGTGTATCTTAGTGCTATTGCTAACCACATCTCACAGAGAGATGCAGTAGTCTCTGTTATGGACACTGTAGTCATCCCATGCTGAACCCCTTCTTGGTCTAATGTGTGGTTTGAATCCTGGAACTGGGGGCGTGAAAATCACACCGAACTGGACCAGCAAGTGGCATGGTGGTTAAGGAGCTAGAATTCCACATGTCTAACTGTGTTTCAATACTAGGACCTGGAGGCTTGCCTTTTCACTTGTCCTCTCTCTCTTTCTTTGGTGAGTACATGTGCCCTATAGCAAATTCAATAATAATAATAAGTTATTATTATTAAAAGTAATTACACTGGGTGCATGGGCATGCATGCCCAAAATCGCAGGAGGAATACGGAGAGAGAAGGGATTGCCAAATGGTCAGTGTCACTAGGAAATGATTTCTCACTTTTCCTCCCTCTCTCTCTGTCTCTCTCTCTGGTAAGTGTACACACCCTATATCAATCACTAAAATATGAACAATAATAATAATAATAAAAAAAGAAAGAAGCAGAAGTTCTAAAAGCAACAACCATGTCTCATTCAGTCCAAGAATGGATACTCTGATGAAAATAGAAGATGTAGTTATAGCTCCCTTTGTATGCTCTCTTGTTTTTTATTTGCTTGTTTTTCTTTTGTTTTGTTTTTTAGTTTTTTGCCATAGGGTTCATGTGCTCATTGGAGAGAAACAGAAAGAAACAGACCTGGCATGATTTCCAAGTCATTAGGTGTAGGGTTTGAACCGTTGTCAGTCAAGGGGGAGTCCAGTGCCTTAACCATCACACCATCTGTTGACCCTGACTTCCCTTTTGTTACTCCAACCTAGACTACCTGATCTCCTTTGTGGATACTGCTTCTGTGCATGGTCAGAAGCAGTGTCCTTGTCTCCACCCACTAAGTACCAGTAGCACCTCCCCAGTGGTAATGACCAAAAGTTTCACCTGAGATTGCCAAGTGTCTCCTGAAGGTATAATTACTGGTTGAGAACTACTGGCCTAGGGTATGAGATCTGACAACCTCTTTAAGAAATTCCAGTCAAACAAAAGACATCTCTTATTAATTCCTAACTTTGGACAGATCACACAACAGAGGTGAACAACTTTTGCAAAGATAGGATGAGTTCCTAATTGTATTGGCCTCGTATAACAGCCATGTGTAAAATCAAATGACATAGGGGCCAGCAGGTGGTATAGTGGTTAAGGTATTGGACTCTCACATGGCTAACCAGGGTTTGAGTCCTGGACTTGGTGGTTTAAAATCCATGGCAGGCACAATTGTTGGCCCCTATATAAAGTTTTATAGCAGATGAACACAATTCTCTCTCTTGATGAAGAGGAAATAGAAATTCGCTGTGGCTAGCTGGAGCTGTAGCCTCAACATAAGAGTGCTTTGGAGTTCCAAGTAAACTAGCAAGGCAAGTACTTTGGAGCACATTTTAACTCAGAGTTGGCAAAGGGTGATAACATGAATCTCTAGAGGCAGGGAAATTCACAGAAAGGAAGGAATTAAAAACTGGATTCACCTAGTCTCATGGGGACAATCAATGAGCAGGAAAATATTTCTTTCTGCCCGGACCGGTGTCCACAAGGGAAATCAGGTAGTCAAGGTTTAGAGTAATGAGAAGGAAATGCACAAAATATACAGATAAAGGGACTTGTAAATCTCTGTTCTATTTTCATCAGAGTTTGCAGCCTTGACTTGGCTTCAATGTAGTTGCTGCTTTTGCAGTCTTAAGTCAGACTAGGGGATCAAGGCTTCACTTTGTCTTTTGGTCCTGCTGGAGACAGAGCTTCAGACTCCATTATTTAAAATCCTGCAAAGGAATGTAGACACCTGCAATAAAATATATATTTTCAGGGACCTCCTCCAGGTGAGTGTTGAGAACCTGGAAGAGAAGGTTCATAGAGAATGGAAACTAGAATGTTTATCTGAGGTTACCTGAAAGCTGAATACACAGTCCAGAGTCAAGAAAGCACAGTGTTTGTTTGGTGGAAAAAACTAATTTGTAATTAATTTATTTAGTATGTTAAAAATGGAAGTGTCAGGACCAACAAATGGTGTGGTGGTTAAGGCATTGGGCACCCATATGGCTAACCTTGGTTTGAATTCCAGACCTGGTGGCTTAAAAATTATGCCAGGTATGTGTGCATGTATGTCCAAGATCTCAGAAAGAGAGTACAGGTCAAGGGATTGTGGTATGATTATCCCCTCTAGGGGCTGATTATTCACTATCCTTCTTTCTGCCTCTCTGATAAGTGCACTCCATCTGTAGAAGAAAAAAAAAAAGACAGAGAGGAAGAGAGAGAGACAGAAAGGAAAAAAAATTGAGGTGTCTTATTGCTTCCCAATCTTTTGGCTAAGATATAGTGTAGTATCTGTTCTTATTTTAATATCTGATATGTCCTCTAGCCAAGGACAATATAGTACATGGATTTGGGGATCAGAGAGATGAAATAGGTGTTTGGTCCATCCACTGTACATGTCGACCTGGTATTTCAGTACCTCCAGAATGCTACACCCCTTTTGGGGGATTAAAAAGAGTTTCCTGGGCTCAGCAGGTGGTGTGGTTTCCCACAGGGATGAGCATGATTCAAGTCCTGCACTCACTGGCTTGAAAATCACACCAACAGCATGTGCAAGTGTGCCCCAAACCCTGAGAATTGAGAAAATATTGCAGTGTGGTCACCACTCCTCCCCGTGGGATGATTTCACACTTTCCTTCTCTCTGTCTCTCTCTGGTGAGTGCACACACACCCTGACAAAATTCTAAAACTAATAATAATAACAAAGTTTTAATAAGTGTCTTATAGACTGCAATGCATGTGTAAGAATGGAAGTCCAATGGAATGATGCCTAAGAAGGAACAGGAGGAGTAAAGGGCTTCGGTAACATTAGAACATGTCCATGGAGATTTGCAGAAAGGATTAGGAAAATTGAGTATTTTATTTGGAAAGGATGTGAACCGATGTGCAGGCATTTTTTATTTATTTTTAAAGATGGGATGTATTTGAGCTTGTTTCTATATGTAGTGCAAAGGTAAGACAAAGGAGTGCCTAAAAATATTGCCTTGGAACAACAGTTCATGGCAGTTCATAGTATCTTCTCCTATGTTGAGTTTTAACATGCAAAAAATCAGTTTTTTTTTTTTTTGGAGAGGTTTTCGCTATAGGGCATGTGTGCTCGCCAGACAGAGAGAGACATAGAGACAGAAAGCGAGAAATCACCCCCCAGGGGGGATGGTCATGCCACAGTTCCTTCTCCTCCATTCTCCTCTTGGGATCTTGGGCACGCACGCACACGCACCCAGCGTGAGTTTTAAGCCACCGGGTCCAGGACGTGAACCGCGGTTGACTACGTGGGAGTCCAGCGACATAGCCATTACACTAACTACTGGTTCCCAAAAATTAGTTTTACCTCAAAGGTCAGAAGGAAAAGTTAAAGCACTTTATGAGACAATTATTTCATTACAGGTGAGGCTGAATCTATTTTGGGGTTTATTAGCCTCTTTATTGCTAATTTTCTTTGTAAGATCTTTGCCTTTATGTACTGTATTCTTTTTATTTTTTCAAAGAAAGAATTGGAGTTTTTGCACTACATTTGCTGCTTACTATTTACTTATGATAAATAGTAAACTAGATTATATATATACATGTATATATATATATATATATATAGTTGATATATAGATAGATATAGATGTAGATAGATGGATGATAGATATTTTGGGGGATAATATGTGAAATTATAAAGTTGGTTTAATCAAATCTATCAGTTGCTCAAATTGCATAGTAATCACCCTGGATGCTTTATTTTGTTTGCTTTTGGTATAAAGGATGTGCACTAGCCAGAGAAAAAGAGAGAGAGTGAGAAATCATTTCCCCACAGGAATGGCCATGATGCAGTCCTTCCTCCTCCATTCTCTCCCTGGGATTTTGGGAATGCATGTACATGTAACCAGTATGATTTTCAAGTCACCAGATCCGGAACTCAAACCACACAGTTGGCCATGTAGGATCCAATGCCTTAACCTCCACATTACCTGCTACCCTTCCCCATTATTTTTAAACTTATCAAATTCTATGTCATCAGTAGTAATTGTCTTTTATACATTTTTTCATCTTATACGGTTGTCAGAAAAATCATGACAAATTTTTGCGTAGAAAAACAGAAAAGATATGTCATGACTTTTCTGACAATCCACCATTTCATGTGTTACTTTTATTTCTATCTTTACCTTTTGCAATTGAATTGAGTTTTTAAAGTAGAAATAGTGACCTCTCTTTCCTGTGGAAATTATTCTTTTGCCTTCATCTAAAAATCACTTATTGGTCCGCTTTACACTCATTACTTGGACAGCTTATAATATAGCAGATTCCAATTTGTGTTACTGAAGTGAATAAAGAAACTTCTTATTAAGATTGTAGAATGGTCAATCAGTGACATGGTGGCTCGATTCCATATGGCCAATCATATGGTTTGATTCCTGGACCTGGAACCTTAAAAAATACACAGAGTACATGTGTATGTGTGCCCAATATCACAAAGAGGAGAAGAAATTGTGGCATGTCCATCCCCCATGGAGGATGCTTTCTTTCTGATTTTCTCCCTGAGAAAATCAGTTATGGTTATGTGTATAAACCAACGTCTATCATTATGGCATACAAAATAAATTTTTGCATCCAGAATACCAACATCTCTCATTACGGCATACAAAATAAATTTTTGCATCCAGAATACATTGTATATTGGCTCAGTCAAAGATATTGCCATGCATATTATCAACAGATAATTTTCCATTTTCTCTGTCTGTCTTTCTCCAGCAAGCCCATGCACTCTGGCAAATATAAAAAAAATAAAAATATAACTGTACAGTGCCTAACCTCTTGGGGAAAGGTTGACAACAATAATACAAATTCACAATCAAAGAGAGTGTATAAAGGAAGAGTCAAATTCTTACCTCAAATGTAGAAATTAATTTTTTGACTGCAAAATAAAAATTGTAGCATTTTACCTATGTGAGTTACAGTCTTTCAAGTGAAAAATAGTCATGTTATTTTTCTCTTTCCTGGAAGTCACCTCCACCACATGGAACCAAAGAATAATACAGAAATTTCAGAATTCTTACTTCTGGGACTTTCAGAGGAAACAGAAATGCAACCCCTTCTATTTGGGATTTTCCTCTCCATGTACCTGATCACTATGACTGGAAACCTGCTCATCATTGTAGCCACCATCTTAGACTCCCACCTGCACACGCCCATGTACTTCTTCCTCTCCAATCTGTCCTTCGTGGACATCTGTTTCACCTCCACGACCATCCCAAAGATGCTGGTGAACATCCAGACTCAGAGCAAAGGCATCACCTATGCAGGCTGCATCACCCAGATGTTCTTTTTCCTACTCTTCATAGTGTTGGATAACTTTCTCCTGACTATCATGGCTTATGACAGGTATGTAGCCATCTGTCACCCTCTACACTATACTATCATCATGCACCCCTGGCTCTGTGTGTTGCTGGTTCTGGTGTCCTGGATAACCAGTGTCCTCTATGCCCTGTTTCACAGCTTAATGGTGTTACGGCTGTCCTTCTGTACACACACTCAGATCCCCCACTTTTTCTGTGAATTTAATCAGGTGATCCACCTTGCCTGTTCTGACACCTTTATTAATGACATTGTCATGTATTTGGGAGCCATACTGCTGGCTGGTGGTCCCTTCACTGGGATCCTTTACTCTTACCGCAAAATAGTTTCCTCTATACGTAAAATCTCATCAGCTCGAGGGAAGTATAAAGCCTTTTCCACTTGTGCCTCTCACCTCTCAGTTGTCTCCTTATTTTATTGTACAAGTCTAGGAGTGTATTTTAGTGCAGCTGATAAAAATTCCCACTCAAGTGCAATAGCCTCAGTTATGTACACTGTGGTCACACCCATGCTGAACCCCTTCATCTACAGTCTGAGGAATAAAGACATAAAGAGGGCTCTGAGAAGAATGACTGGGAAGGATACTATAGTAGAATAAATTGTCCTGGTACTGAAGAACTGTCCTTTTTAGCAGGACTCACAAACAGACTCAGAAATATTGACAATTTGTTCATATTTGGAGGTAGAATGTGTTCCTTCTAATGGTCTCCAGTAACTTACATGACATTAATTTCAACTTATCTATACAATTTCTAAGAACATTGCCTTAGTAAATTTTGTTTTCTCTCTGATAACAAGTTTTCCCTTTGTTCATTTTTGTTTTTTCACAAGCTTAACCTAATTATAGATCATAAATACCTGGAAATCCTCATAAAAACATGAATTTCTGATGAATAATTTCTTCTCAAGTGACATACACCGAGTAATTTTCCTTTTCTCTATTAAAAATAATCTTGTGTTATACTTTCAACATAGGAAAAAAATAAATATACTTGGCAATATGGTCAATTATATGATTATATAAAAATAAAAATCTGACATAAGAATCTTCCAGATTTGTGTCCATCATTCTTTGGTATATCTCTACATTACTTGATCCTAATATAGAGTTTTACACATTGATTTGTTTCATAATTTGTCTTCTGGGTTTTCTTCTATTTACTATTATGTTTCTTCATAAGCCCTGTGTCCACTGTGCCTATGTAGCCACTGGCAAAAATAAAATAATTAGTATCTGTAGACACCCTCCTTTATGTGCCAAGTAATACTACTTTTCTACCTTGTTTATGTAAATATTCTTTCACCTCCATCACCATCCTAAAGATCTGGGTGAATACACAGACACAGAGCAAGACCATAACTTAAGAAGGTTGCATTGGGACCAGCAGTTGGCATAATGGCTGTGTTGCTGGACTCCCATGTAGTCAACTGCAGTTTGAGTCCTGGACTTGGTGGCTTAAACTCACACTGGGTACATGTGCATGCATGCCAAAGCTTCCGAGAGGAGAATGGAGAAGGGATTGTGGTGTGGTCATCCCCCCTGGGGGGCGGTTATTTCTCACTTTCTATCTCTCTGACTTTCTGATGAGTGCACACACTTTATAGCAAAAACTTCTCCAATAATAATAATAATAATATTTCAAGAAAAAATAGTACAAATTCCAAAAACAATAACCATGTCACATCCAGTTCAAGGCTGGATACTCTGATTAAAATAGAAGAGATACTTATAGCTCCCTTTGTCTGTCATTTGGCACAGCTCCCTCTGGTTTTGTTTTGTTTTGTTTTGTTTTGCCTTTTTAAGGATTGTGTGTGTGTGTGTGTGTGTGTGTGTGTGTGTGCAATAGGATGTGTGCACTTGTTGGAGAGACACAGTGATAGCAAAAGTGAGAAATCATTCCCCAGGGAAATGGCCATGCCACAATCCCTTCTCCTCCTGGAATTTTTGGTGTGCATGCACACATGCCCAGTGTGATTTCTAAGCCACAGAGTTCAAGACTGGAACTGACATTGCCCATGTGGGAGTTCAATGCCTTATCCACCATGCCACCTGCTGACCTTGATTTCCCTCTTGCTACTCCAAGCCCAGACTACCTGATCTCTCTTGTGGACACTGCTTTTTTTGTGTATTGTAGCAGACAGTGTGCTTTTCTTCAATGTACTACCAGTAGCAACTCTTTGGTGGTAATAATGAAATGTCACCAGACATTGCCACATGTCTCCTGAAGGCACAATTGCCTCTGGTTGAGAACTACTAGCCTTGGGCATGAGACCTGAAAATTCCTTTATGGGATTCCAATCAAACTAATCTGTTACTCAGTCCCCAACTTTGGGCAGATGACACTACATTGCTGAACTTCACTTCTACAAAAGTAGGATGAGTTTCTAATAGTACTGACCTCATATGTTGGCCATGTGTAAAATCAAATGATGTAGGGTCCAGCAGGTAGCATAGTTGTTAAGATGCTAGACTCCCACATGGCCAACAATCATTCAAGTCCCAGACCTGGTGGCTTGAAACTTATACCAAGCACAATTGCTGGCCCCCTATCCAAAGTTTTACAGCAGATGGAAACTGTTCTCTCCCTTGATGAAGAGGAAATAGAAATTCACTGTGGTTAGCTGGAGCTGTATTCCCAACAAGTGAGTGTTTTGGAGTTCCATGGAAAGTGGTGAAGGCAAGTACTTTGGAGCACATTTTAATTCAGGTTGGCAAAAGGTGCTAACCAGGAGACCAGTAGGTGGCATGATAATTAAGTTGCAGTACTCCACAAAGCCAACCCTGGTCTGATTGCTGGACCTGGTGCCTTGAAAATCACCTCAGGCACATGTGCGTGGGTGTTCAAAATTCCAGTAGGGAGAATGGAAGAGAAAGGATTGTGGTGTGGTTATCCCTCCTGTGAGGTGATTTATTTATTTTCTTTTTATTATTAATATTATTATCATTATTAATGTATTCCATTCTTACACATCATTTAGCTTGTAAAAAGAATTTATCCTATGTGAAATACACCTCAAACCCATACAGTTGAGAATACTAAGCACATTATCATCAACAAATAATAAACTATTTCTGTGTCCCTCAAATGCCTTACACTTTCCCTGTCTCTGTCTCTCTCCTCTCTGGTGAGTGCATATGCCCTATGGCAAAGTATTAAAAAAAAATAGTGCTAACATAAATCTCTAGTGGTAGGAGAGCTCACAGAGAGGGAGAAATAAAGACTGAATTTACCTGACGTCTTACCTGATCTCATGGTAACAATCAATGAGCAGAAAAACGTTTCTACCCAGATCAGTCTCCATAAGGGAAATCAGGTAGTCAGGATTTAGAGTAACAAGAAGGAAATAAGCCAAATGTACAGATCAAGGGACATGCAAATATCTCTCTTATTTTTGTCAGAATTTGCAGCCTAGAGCTGGCTGGGACGTGGTTACTTGGACTAGGAGACCAATGCTTCACTTTGTCATTCTGGTTGCTGGGTACACAGATTCAATCTTCATCATTTAGACTCCTTCAAAGGAATGTAGACACCTGCACAAACAACATATTTTTAGAGACTTCATCCACCTGAGTCTGAGAGTCTTGCAGAAAAGGTTCAGAGAGAACAGAAACTGAGAATGTTTTTCTGAAGTTACCTGAAAGTCAAATAAACTAAGCCCAGAGACAAGAGAGCACTGTGTTTGTTTGACTGACAACTAATTTGTAATTGATTTATTTAGCTTGTTAAAAATAGAAGTGTCAGGGCCAACATGTTGTGGTTGTTAAGGCATTGGACTCCCATATGACCAACCATGGTTTGACTACCACTTGGAGTCTTGAAAATCTTGTCAGGCATGTGTGTTTTGTTTTGTTTTGCCTTTTTAAGGATTGTGTGTGTGTGTGTGTGTGTGTGTGTGTGTGTGCAATAGGATGTGTGCACTTGTTGGAGAGACACAGTGATAGCAAAAGTGAGAAATCATTCCCCAGGGAAATGGCCATGCCACAATCCCTTCTCCTCCTGGAATTTTTGGTGTGCATGCACACATGCCCAGTGTGATTTCTAAGCCACAGAGTTCAAGACTGGAACTGACATTGCCCATGTGGGAGTTCAATGCCTTATCCACCATGCCACCTGCTGACCTTGATTTCCCTCTTGCTACTCCAAGCCCAGACTACCTGATCTCTCTTGTGGACACTGCTTTTTTTGTGTATTGTAGCAGACAGTGTGCTTTTCTTCAATGTACTACCAGTAGCAACTCTTTGGTGGTAATAATGAAATGTCACCAGACATTGCCACATGTCTCCTGAAGGCACAATTGCCTCTGGTTGAGAACTACTAGCCTTGGGCATGAGACCTGAAAATTCCTTTATGGGATTCCAATCAAACTAATCTGTTACTCAGTCCCCAACTTTGGGCAGATGACACTACATTGCTGAACTTCACTTCTACAAAAGTAGGATGAGTTTCTAATAGTACTGACCTCATATGTTGGCCATGTGTAAAATCAAATGATGTAGGGTCCAGCAGGTAGCATAGTTGTTAAGATGCTAGACTCCCACATGGCCAACAATCATTCAAGTCCCAGACCTGGTGGCTTGAAACTTATACCAAGCACAATTGCTGGCCCCCTATCCAAAGTTTTACAGCAGATGGAAACTGTTCTCTCCCTTGATGAAGAGGAAATAGAAATTCACTGTGGTTAGCTGGAGCTGTATTCCCAACAAGTGAGTGTTTTGGAGTTCCATGGAAAGTGGTGAAGGCAAGTACTTTGGAGCACATTTTAATTCAGGTTGGCAAAAGGTGCTAACCAGGAGACCAGTAGGTGGCATGATAATTAAGTTGCAGTACTCCACAAAGCCAACCCTGGTCTGATTGCTGGACCTGGTGCCTTGAAAATCACCTCAGGCACATGTGCGTGGGTGTTCAAAATTCCAGTAGGGAGAATGGAAGAGAAAGGATTGTGGTGTGGTTATCCCTCCTGTGAGGTGATTTATTTATTTTCTTTTTATTATTAATATTATTATCATTATTAATGTATTCCATTCTTACACATCATTTAGCTTGTAAAAAGAATTTATCCTATGTGAAATACACCTCAAACCCATACAGTTGAGAATACTAAGCACATTATCATCAACAAATAATAAACTATTTCTGTGTCCCTCAAATGCCTTACACTTTCCCTGTCTCTGTCTCTCTCCTCTCTGGTGAGTGCATATGCCCTATGGCAAAGTATTAAAAAAAAATAGTGCTAACATAAATCTCTAGTGGTAGGAGAGCTCACAGAGAGGGAGAAATAAAGACTGAATTTACCTGACGTCTTACCTGATCTCATGGTAACAATCAATGAGCAGAAAAACGTTTCTACCCAGATCAGTCTCCATAAGGGAAATCAGGTAGTCAGGATTTAGAGTAACAAGAAGGAAATAAGCCAAATGTACAGATCAAGGGACATGCAAATATCTCTCTTATTTTTGTCAGAATTTGCAGCCTAGAGCTGGCTGGGACGTGGTTACTTGGACTAGGAGACCAATGCTTCACTTTGTCATTCTGGTTGCTGGGTACACAGATTCAATCTTCATCATTTAGACTCCTTCAAAGGAATGTAGACACCTGCACAAACAACATATTTTTAGAGACTTCATCCACCTGAGTCTGAGAGTCTTGCAGAAAAGGTTCAGAGAGAACAGAAACTGAGAATGTTTTTCTGAAGTTACCTGAAAGTCAAATAAACTAAGCCCAGAGACAAGAGAGCACTGTGTTTGTTTGACTGACAACTAATTTGTAATTGATTTATTTAGCTTGTTAAAAATAGAAGTGTCAGGGCCAACATGTTGTGGTTGTTAAGGCATTGGACTCCCATATGACCAACCATGGTTTGACTACCACTTGGAGTCTTGAAAATCTTGTCAGGCATGTGTGCGTGTGTGCCCAAGATCCCGAGAGGGGATAAGGGATTGTGGTGTGGTCATCTCCTCTGGATTGTGAGTTCTCACTTTCCATCTATCTCTCTCTCTTGCAAGTACACTTGTCTTACAGGGGAAAAAAATGAAGTGTCTTATTCCTTATTGGCCTTGGCTAAAATATAGTATTATATCTGTTCTTATCAGTTTAAAATGATATGTCCTCTATCAAAGAACAATATAGTAAATGGGTTTTTGGATCAAGGAGATGGAATGAGAGCTTGCTCTGTCCACTCCACACAGACACCTGGTATTGCAGTACCATCAGGAATGGCACACTCCCTTTGGAAGATTTAAAAGAGTTTCCTGGGGCCAGCAGGTGGTGTGGTGTTTAAGGCACTGGATTCCTCCATTATCAACCATGGTTGAAATCCCAGACCCAGTGACTTGAAAATCACACCAGGCATATGTGCATGTGTGTTCAAAATCCTTAGAGAACTGAGAAAGGATTGCAGCGTGGTCGTCTCCCAAGGAGTGATTTCTCACTTTCCCTCTCTTTGCCTCTCTGGCTAGTGCATAAATTCTATGCAAAAAGCCTTACAAAAAAGAAGAAGAAGAAGAAGAAGAAGAAGAAGAAGAAGAAGAAGAAGAAGAAGAAGAAGAAGAAGAAGAAGAAGAAGAAGAAGAAGAAGAAGAAGAAGAAGAAGAAGAAGAAGAAGAAGAAGAAGAAGAAGAAGAAGAAGAAGAAGAAGAAGAAGAAGAAGAAGAAGAAGAAGAAGAAGAAGAAGAAGGAAAGAGTTTTGTAGACTGCAATGCATGGATGAGAATGTAAGTCTTATTGAATGAGACTGAAAAAGGAGCAGGTAGAGTAAAAAGGTTTCAGTAGCATTAGAACACTTTGGGGCCAGCAGATGGCATAGGGGTAATGTCACTGGATTCCCATATAGCTGACCATGGTTCAAGTCCTGGACCTGGCAGCTTGAAACTCATGGCAGGCATTTGCACATGCATGAACAAGAATCTGGGAGGAGAATAAAAGAGAAGGGATTGCAGCATGGATACCCCCCCCCCCCCCCGGGGAGGCGATACTCTCAAAAAAAGTCCATGGGGATTTGAAGGAAGTAGAAAAATTGAATATTTGATTTGGAGGGATGTGTACTGGAATGCAGGCATTTTATTTATTTTTAATAATGGGATAATTTGGGCATGTTTCTGTATTAATTGCAAGGCTTAGATAAAGGATTGCTTAAAAATATTACCTTAAAACAACAGTTCATGAAAATTCATAGTATCTTCTCCCATGCTGGGCATTAACATGAAAAAATAAATCAGTTTTATTTGAGAGGTCAGAGGATAAAACTAAAACACTTTACTTGGCAATTACTTTATTACAGGTGAGGTTAAATCTGTTTGGGCATTTATTAGCCTTTTTGTTTTTTGCTAATTTTGTTTGTAAAATCTTTGCTTTTATGTACTGGGTTCTTTTTATTTTATTCTTTCAAATACAGAATTGGAGTTTTTACACAAAGTCTTCTGTTTACTCTTTACATAAAATAGGTAGCTATTTAGCAAGATGATAGAAAGATGTTAGATCTATACTTTGGGGGATAATATGTGAAACTATAAAGTTGGTGTGACCAAGTCTACCAGCTGTTCAAACTGCATAGTCATCTCCCTCAATGTTTTTTAAATTTTGTTTTGTTTTTGTTACAAGGCATGTGCACTTACGAGAGAGAGAAAGTGAAAAATCACCCCCCAGGGGAGATAGATGCAATGCTGTCCCTTCTCCTCCATTCTCTCCTCAGGATTTTGGACATACACACACACACAGTATGATTTTCAAGCTGCTGGATCCAGGTATGACTCAAACCATGTTGTCATCCATGTTGGATCCAGTGTCTTAACCTCCATGCCACCTGCTGCCCTTCCAATTTTAAGAGGTTTTTGTCTTAGGTCACGTGCACTTGCCAGAGAGAGAGACAGAGACAGTGAGAGGAAAAGTGATAAGTCACTCCCCAGAGTAGAATGGTCATGCTACAATTACTTTTCATCCATTCTCCTCCTGGGATCTTGGGCATTCATGAGTTTCAAGCCACTGGGTCCAGGACTTGAACCATGGTCAACCATGTGGGAGAACACTGACACAACTGCTATGCCACTTGCTGCCCCTCCTCATTGTTTTTTAAACTTAAGTTCTGCATCATCAGTAGAAATTGTCTTTTACACATTTTATTTCACGTGTTAAGGGGAGATAGATGCAATGCTGTCCCTTCTCCTCCATTCTCTCCTCAGGATTTTGGACATACACACACACACAGTATGATTTTCAAGCTGCTGGATCCAGGTATGACTCAAACCATGTTGTCATCCATGTTGGATCCAGTGTCTTAACCTCCATGCCACCTGCTGCCCTTCCAATTTTAAGAGGTTTTTGTCTTAGGTCACGTGCACTTGCCAGAGAGAGAGACAGAGACAGTGAGAGGAAAAGTGATAAGTCACTCCCCAGAGTAGAATGGTCATGCTACAATTACTTTTCATCCATTCTCCTCCTGGGATCTTGGGCATTCATGAGTTTCAAGCCACTGGGTCCAGGACTTGAACCATGGTCAACCATGTGGGAGAACACTGACACAACTGCTATGCCACTTGCTGCCCCTCCTCATTGTTTTTTAAACTTAAGTTCTGCATCATCAGTAGAAATTGTCTTTTACACATTTTATTTCACGTGTTACTCATTGCTATATTTTTTACTTTTCTTATTTGAGATTAAAACATCAAAACAGTGATCTCTGTGTCATGTGGAAGATATTATTTTGCACTTTTCAAAAGATCACTCATTTGTCCACCGTACACTCATTACTTGGTCAATGCCTAGAATATGTCAGACTCTCAATTGTTTGTTACTCAAATGCATGAAGAAATTTCTTATTAAAATTATAGAATGTCAAGTCTGTGGCATGGTGATTAAGGTGGTTTAAGGTGGCAGGATCCCACATGGCTGTCTGTGTGTTTGAGTCTTGGACCTGGTGGCTTAGAAAATACACAGGGTAATGTGTGTGTGTGTGTGTGTGTGTGTGTCCAAAATACCAAAGAAAGAAATGGAGGAGATATTGTGTCATGGCCATCCCTCATGGAGGGTGCTTCCAAACTTTTTTCTTCTCTCTGCCTTTCTCCATCAAACCCATGAGCTCTCTGGCAAATTTAAAAATAAATAAATAAAAATAAAGCTGTACAATACCTGACCTCTTGGGGAAAGGTCGACAATAATACAGGAATTCCCTATCAGTGATAGAGCATAAAGGAGGGGATCAGATTATTACACAAAATGTAGAAATTTATTTGTTGACTACAAAACATAGATTGTAGCATTTTACCTATGTGAGTTACACTAAAAAAAAATCTTTCAAGTAAAAAATAGTCATGTTACTTTTCTCTTTCCAAGTAGTCATTTCCACTATATGGAACTAACGAACAATACAGAGCTTTCAAAACTCATTTTTTTTCTGGGACTTTCAGAGGAACTGAAATTGCAGTCCCTCATATTTGGGATTTTCCTCTCCATGTACCTGATCACTGTGACTTGAAAGCTACTCATCATCCTGACCACCATCTTAGACTCCTACCTGTACAACCCCATGTAGTTTTTCCTCTCCAACCTGCCCTTCATAGACATCTGTTTTGTCTCCACCATGGTCCCAAAAATGCTGGTGAACATCCAGACACAGAGCAAGGTCATCATCTATGCAGGCTCCATCACCCATATGAAATTTTTTGTACTCTTTATAGGACTAGACAACTTTCTCCTGACTGTTATGGCCTATGACTGGTTTGTGGTCATCTGTTGCCCACTGGACTATGTTGTCATCATGAATGTCTGCCTCTGTATTGCTGGTGCTGGTGTCCTGTGTTGACAAATGTCCTATATTTCTTGTTACAAAGCTTAATGATGTTGTATTTGTCCTGTGGAAATCTCTCACTTTTTCTGTGAACTTATTCAGCTGGTCCACCTTACCAGTTTTGATACCTTTATTAATGACATAGTGTTCTAATTTGCAGATGTGCTACTAGTTGATGGACACCTTTTTGTTATCATTTACTCTAGGTCTAGGATAGTTTCTCCCATATGTAAAATGTCATCATCAGAGGGGAATATAAAGCATTTTATACTTGTGCCTCTCACCTCCCAGTTGTCTATTTTATTTTACAGTCATAGGTGTGTACCTTAGTTCTGCTTCTGCCCCAAATTCACACTCTAGTACAACAGCCTCTGTGACGTAAACTGTGGTCACCCACATGCATCTACATTGTGAACAATAAATTTATAAAGAAGGCCCTGAAAAGATTATTTGGGAGGGAAATTATCAAGGCATCAATTGTCCTAGTACAGAAATTCACTTGTTAGCAGAACTCAAAGCATCAGAGCTAAAATTATGGAAATATAATTGGAATATAGAAGTAGAACCTGTTACTTCCAATATCTTCTGGAATGTTTTTAACTTAGATTTCAACTTATCTATAAAATTTAAGTATCTCAACTTATTAAGCTTTCTTCTCTGATAGCTAGTCTGTTCCTTTGTTCATGTTTGTGTTTTTCTAAGTGTATACTATTCATAGATCAAAAATACTTAGAAATACCCATTTATTTCATGAAATTCTAGGAATCAATTATTTTCAAATTATATAGATATATACTGAGTAATTTTTCCCTTATTCTACTAAAAATATTCATGAGTTATACTTCTGTTATGAAATAAAAATAAGTATATTTGACAACTAAATTAATTTATATAATGTTATAGTGCCAGAAAATATGAGACTGTAATTTTAAAATTTCAAGTCCATCATTCCTTGGTTTATCACAACCTTAACTGTTCTTCATGCTAATATAGAGTTTAAAACACCAATTCATTTTATAACTTATCATTGGTTTTATCCTCATTTTTACGATCATGCTTATTCAGACCACTGTTCATATGCCTATATAGTTACTAGCAAAAATTAGTTACTATCCTCTTGTCCCATAGTAGAACCTGCTTGAAGCGCCCAGCAGGTGGTGAGGTGAGTACAGCATTGGATTCCCACCTGGCCAACCGCAGTTTGAGTTCCAGGCCCAATCTTGAAAATCACACCAGGTGCACGTGCATGTGTGTCCAAAATTAAAGGAGAATGGAAAAGAGATTCCTGTTTCTGTTTGAATATTTTCAGTGATTCTTACCTATATGAATCTATACATTGCTCTAAATAAAATATCTCTCACTTTTCTAAAGTTTGTCATTCTCACCAAAGGGAGAATATCAGTCTGTCCAGGCATGTGGTTCTGGGTCAGAAATGCTTCTGTACTG